TCCTGCACAGGATTCGAACCCCTGTAGGGTAATCAGAGGTGCGGTGGCGAGCGTATCCCTAATGTGTAGCACGATGAGCCACACTGCTGCGCGCTTTCATTTAGATGACTCAAGTTACACTAAGTCATGATGACTTTAATTCAATTTAGTCAATGATTTATTTTAAAAAGCTTGGTAATCTTACAATATAAGCTTTGGTGGTTAATTTTACAAAGTTATTTTTTGGAAATCAACATTTGCAGGCACTTTCACAACTGTTACGCCTTCCAATAGCCTGAAAATCATTCAAAGACAGCCAAGCAATGGAGTCATGTTGGAAAGAGTTTTGGGAGAATCGCTTCCCGGCTACAAGCAATGGCCAACACGGAACTTGTATTCTCTTTCCAAGCTGGGGAAATGATGGTGAGAAAATTTAAAAATTCAGCGCTCCGGAAGTATGTGCACCAGGATGGTACACAACCTGAACCATAACCTGGTACACATACTATGTTCAGGTTGTGCGCCATCTTGGTGCACATACTTCTGGAGCACCGAAAATTCTCAACTTATATTATCTCTTAATTGTATATTCATGTTTATGCAATAACTAAATGCAGTCCTATTTTTATTCTTAGTCTCTCTGTTTTATTGTTAGTGAAATTGATGAGTGGGCAATATTTTTATTCTTGATCTGTCTGTTTTATTGTTGATAAAATTAATGAGTCAGCATTACCAATTACCATTATCAATTGCAAAGAAAAGTGTAATAAAACAATTTAGTCCACTAATATTTGATAATTTTTCCATTCTCTCTTCTTTCATGATCCAAAGGTCCATATAATTCAGGGGTCTCAAACTCAATTTACCTGGGAGACGGAGTCTGAGTGAGTCCGGGTCGCATCAGGTTTTCCACAATAAAAGCATAGCTTAGAAAGTTAAATCTTCTTTCTCTATTCTTCTATACGCAAAACATAAATGTTAGTAGTTCCGCGATGGACCTTGTTAGTTTTCGGTTGTGTTTCAGAAAGTATGAATTAAAGAAAAATGATCATTCTGATGACTTGGGCGTCGTAGCTTAAAATTGCAGTAATCAAAAATTAGTCTAGAAATAGCAGTGATACCTAGGCTAAACTTACCAGTACTATTGAAAAAGGTTGTTGAATGTTTTGAATCCAAATGATTATGTGAAACATATACCCCAGTTTATAGACTTTAACTCGCGAAGCCACCTTTAAACTAAGCACCAAGAAATTTGCAATGGTGACGTATAAGAAAATTTTTGGGGTCTAAGGTCGGGAAAAGGTCCATGGAATATCATGCCTACAGGTACGGTACTAGTAGGTTACCGTACCGCATATGCTTTCCGGGGGATAGATTATGAAATATTTTGTTTCGCTCTACGTGTCCTGATTATATATTAAATGCATCAATCACTCTAACTGAGCTGAGTGACTTACGGGCCGCACTAACATTAAACTTTCATACCAAGACGGGGGCCACAAACTATCGTCCTGCGGGCCGCGAGTTTGAGACCTCTGATATAATTGATCTATCTCTTCGAATTCCCTTACCCCCAAATTGGAATGAATATCAAGCCAAATAAATTGTAAAAATAACTTTCTATTCATAGGGGAAGCTATACAAAGCTCTTACCTACCTGACTCGCATGAAGGATGGAAAGTTCGGTATCTCATAAACAAAGCTTTTGAAGCTGGAATACTCTTTGGAGTTGAAGAAATTTCACAACAAGATGGAAGATTAATATGGAATCCTGACATTCCCAGCAAAACCAACAAAACAGGAGGAATTGCAAAGTAAGTTTTTTTACTGTTTTACATAATAATGAAAATTGTCATTGAAGACTAATAAAAATTATGTAAAACTTGCCAGATATTATGAACTAAACTACATGCTTATTTATAATGAAGATAATGACCGCCGCATCTATGCACTTCAAAACCACGAAGTTGAATATGAAGAAAATATAGTGTGGTTTCTTTTTAGTAGAAAAAGCTCCCAATGCTTTGAATTTTATCCATTCCCACCAGACTGGCACTTGTATATAATGTTATTTCACATCCTCAGCATAACAATGACTTACATATTATTTGTGCATTCAGGCTTAAATAATAATGCACCATCTGATATCTGTCAGACTAGAATACTATATTGTATATTTCATATTGTCAAATGTAATTCAACCAACTAAGCTAGTCCTGGAAAGGTAATTTAATTTGCTTTTTATTTTTACTTTATTTCAATGTGATTTTTCAATAGCCTGAAAGGATTGACATGGACTCTGATCTGACTGGAGATCTAACATATCTAACCTGTGTAATCAATAAATAACTGATGCAATACCTCTAAATTTAATCTTGGTTTTTTGTTTTTTTAGCAATGGATATCCTGACTTGAACTATTTCCAGAATCTGCGTGATGCTCTGAATGCAAAGGGAATAGAGTAGATAGTGTATCTGGACAGCTTATATAAAATACTATTCTCGCATCATGATGACCCAATCTATAATAAAGGCAGTCATTGATATATAGGGATCTATTATTTTTCAGATCTGCATTACCCAGCCAATTTATTACACATTGGGTGAGGTGAAGAACATTGGATTTAAAGCCGGTATTTTTCAATACCACACTTTTAACACACGCAACTTATCGACGGAAAACTAATCATATATTATATACATTTTTTTACTACATTTTATTCAACTAAGCGGTTAACATTCGCAGAAAAGCAACAAAATTCTCCTGAACCGACAGTAATCTGCGGTTGGGAACCACTGTTTTCTACCTACGACACGGGAAGTTATTGCAAAAATATAATACACATTAGTAAGTGCCGGTTAAATCAAACAATAAGTGTTTTTATGCCGCACTCTTCTTTTTATGGTTTGAATAAAATTACATACACTACGTTTGTTATATTTTGATTTGGTTTTAATGACAATGTAAAGCATGTAAAAGTTTCGATAGTGTGTTTGCAACACTTTGATGGTCGTATATCTAGTATCTACTGCTCGTGAGTGTATATTACCATCGAAAAGAGAGGTTATCCTGTTTTTTCTCGTTTGTGGTCCTTTTTCGCTCCCGAAGTATGTGCACCAAGATGGCGCACAACCTGAACCCTAACCTGGTACAACTAGAGATGTACCGATACCAATTAAAAACGCCGATATCACAAAACGACTGATATTCCGATACTATGTAAATATTACCTCACGTGTGCAGGGCAGACGGGTTAAAACACTAGTCTTTGAGCATTCTTCATGTTACACATTATTTCAGATTGAAAAAAGGATATAATACATCATAAGAAATTGATGTTTGGGATTCAGATGCGTTAATTAATTTCGATGCATTGTGTACTGAAGCTAGTAATCTCGGTGTTCAATTAGAAAACTCATAGCCAGGGATGTCCAATTTGAATTTGATATTAATAACGCGACCTTCGAATATCGCCCACACATCGTAGAGCCGCCGTCCACGTTTTACTTGAAAACATTTCACATACGATATATTTCGTTTTATGTTTTATCGTAATCGTGCGTCGCGACAATAAATTACAGCCGACATTAGAGGATTTCAATCAGCGCTGGCTAGAATACCTATAACACGTCGAGGATGTTTCTGATTTTAATATTTCATAATATATCGCAAATATTATCGTATATTTTGAGATAGTCTGGGCGGCCTAGGCAATAAATATATGAGAAATTGTATAGTTAAACAAAATTAAAATTATTGGAATCACAATATTTAATACCTGTGTAAGAGATAATTGAGTCGAAATTTAGCTTAAAGATGTCGATGGACTAAATGACACTAGCGCTTAACGATAAACAGTCGGAATTTATAACCGTGCCGAAAAGTGCGTATGCTGAATGCTGTTAATAAAGACGTTTCTACACTATGATTTAAAACTACTTTCACAGAGCAATTTCATTTATATCACACACAGCCTAATATACAATCAGCTAATTTATATGTCCCTGGATTTTGGGAAAGTGGATTGATTGTATTTATGAGGAGGATTTTACAATCTATTCGGAATTTCAGTATCGAGAAATATTTTTAGAATGTATTCGAAATAGTCGATGGGTATGGCCATCCCTGCTCATAAGTTTGCTACCAGAGTGGTGAAATAAATAAATGTTTAGCCTACTTATCTTATCAAATTGATACATTGAGTTAGGCTACGTGCGCAAGATTTTTTCCAATATAACGACATATTTTGTATTTTACACATTAGAAAATCCACATATATTCGATTGATATATTTATTCATAATATTACTATGTAATAAAACATCAATATAAAATCTTGGCAGTAAAAATAGCCAAATTAGTTGAGCATTTGGCTGATAAAAACTGAGAACAGGTCAGAATCCCATTCTCGTTTCTACTCGCGGGGGTCGGGACGTGTATGGCATATAGTTCACGATTCCCCCAAGCAAAAAATAATTTAAACATCAGTATTCCAACTTATTTTTTAAAACATTCTGAGTCATATCAAAAAGGTAAACATATCGGAAATATCGGTCTTCATTTAGCCGATACCGATACACTACCGATGCCGATGCATCGGTACATCTCTAGGTACAACTACTATGTTCAGGTTGTGCGCCATCTTGGTACAGATACTTCTGGAGGCCCCCTTTTTCTTGCCATGAATGAGTTTAAAATAAAATATATATCAACTATACTACATACCAGCTTGCCAATAATTTACGGCATTGCTGGGTGATATACTTTGGCCTACCTGTTCTTAAATATGAAGTGGATACGCTGCTGTCGCACATAACGACCGCTACTTTTACTTTCTTCATCGCTTCGAAGCAACTCTTATTCTATCTAATACCTCCAAGCAGTTATCGGTTGGTGCTTGTCTAAGTTCGTGATGGAATTGGTATAAGCACGAAATACACAAAAAAACAGATTATTAGCAATTTAGATATCTCGCTAAGTCAAAAAATCAAAAGAGCCAATATAAGACAAGAAACAGCTTCAGTATTGACCAAAGAATTTTTCAAGTGTACCGTGCAGAAATGATATGGTAATATTGTATAGTAGCAGTTACAGTATATCCCGTGATATTCAATTTCTTAAACTAATATTACCTAAAACGTATACTTTGTTTTCTTCAATTTATTTCGTGTCCATTCATTGCTTTGACAATTTTCAAAATATCTGTGGTTTGCTATATACAACTAGCTTTATATTCAGGGCTGCCATCGATATGAACCCCAAAATAAGGACATCAGGGGAAACATAATAATAAGATAAGAACGAACGAAATGTAATACACAAAATGTATTCATAATACTTTGCCTAGAAAGGATTCCTCCAGCAGTTCTTTATTCCTAGAAACAATCTGTTCCATCTCACTTTTAAGTTGTATTTTGATTCAAGTTACACGAACTGATTTTGGCCGGTAGGCTATTGTTTTGTCATTGTGTCAATTAATTTGCTGTTATTACGTAATGAGTGCGCGTAGCAATCAAGGAGGTTGTAAAATATCATTTCTAGCAAATCAGTCATTTGAATTGCCAACCTAAGTGGCTAGTATTAGAACCTCTACCCATAAACAGGGTTACCATATTTTTGTGACCTCAAATCGGGACACCTTCAAAGACCACAGCTGTGATTTTTTCAACTTCAAATTCGACGATTTTACATTAGGGGCATTTAAAACCATCACGGCTGTCTTCATTGGCCATTTTGTCATCGAGACGCTGTCTGTCTAAATATCGGAACGTTAAGAAATCTTTTGGCGTACGGGCAGGGGCGGTTTAAGCCCCTTTGGTGCCCTAAGCACTGAAGACTTTGGTGCCCCCTCATGTGTAATTTAATTATAAAAACAATAAACCACATAAGTGTATTATCCATTAAAAATAATCACAACCAACAGTAAATAAAACAACTTTTACGAACATTTTTAGTTTTTTCACTGTTATATATAGCCGATATATATGGTATATCGGCAAACACGCAATATCGGACCGATATATATATATATATCGGTTGAGCTCTAATCCTGAGGGTGTGTGACAATAAAGATTCATGCCTCCAGTCTCAACGTGAATCGAAATACCGAAGCATACAAGTCACAACTGTAGTTTGAAATTAGTCTACCCCAGGGTGCTTCAAGGTTGCTAGGTTGAAGGACCGCAAAAGCTTTTGAGGAGGTCTCGCGGGCCGCAAGTCGGAGAAACCCCTAAAGTGATCGAAATATCGCTAGTTTACTTAGTTCAAATTTAATAAATAACGAGAGTTTACCGTTCTAATCAGACTATTAGCCTATTATGTTGCATGGGTGGCGTTCTTTTGAAGAAGATATACAAAGCCTTCAGTTATTTTAAAGTTAATTCCCGAGAATTACCGTTGTATTTTGCGCATCTCGTGTTTAATGTCGCTTCAAATTATTTTCTTTCGTGACAGATATTACGGTACTTGAAGTTAAAACAGACACTGTGTGATGGGCAAGGAAATACGTTTCCGCCGTGTTTTCCTTTTGTCACATTTCTTGCGACACTCATTTTATTACGAATTGTTATATTGAGTAATTTAAAAACGTGCAGCGTGAGCAAGCTTAGTGCCATCGTCAAGAACCAACCAAGTTGGTTCTGCGTTTTGTCACTACTATCACATGGCCGACCCTTGAAAACAGAGGAGTGTTTTTACTAAAATAAAGGCACAAGGCGTCAGAAAAAGGGGTTTGAATCTCGGGATCCCAACCCCACTTGGAATAGCAAAAAAAAAAAACTCGGAAACGTTCCTCCATTAGATACAAATATACGCTAAAATTGATCTTTGAGCCGCACGGAATGTATCAGCATGACAGGGTTTGGACCACCCTGGTCTACCTTGTCTCCCGACTTCGCTAACCACTAGATCGTTGAAATACGACCGTGGAACCGCCACATAGTGGAAATAGTTCATTGGTCCAATTGTTGAAAAGAAAAGAAATCTTTTAAAAAAGAAAAATGCAGCAACAAGGAAAATACTAGGAAGGAAAAACAACAACAAATTAAGAAAACGATTCATAGACCCATTTCGTGTCCAATAAATGAGTCCCAGTGTTTATTTTTGATATGATACTTGAAGACGAAAAATAGCCGAATATTTTGAAGTTTTAGTCGTCTGGTGAATTCGTAATATTTTAATGAACACCGATAAACTATATAAAATTCTGCTTTAAAATTTCTGTGGTGCCCCTCATTGCTTGGTGCCCTAAGCACGTGCTTATATTGTTTAATGGTTAATCCGGCGCTGCGTACGGGGCTTACACAACAACAGTATCAAGAACATGCTAATTGGTAATGTTCGTGTATCATGCTGACTGGCTGAACGCCAATGCGGGACTTTTTGCTGACTGGTCGGTACGCCGGGACAAGGTGTTCAAAAGTGGGACTAACCCGCCTGAAACGGGACGTATGTTAAGCATAGCCATATGGCACCGCTTAGACAAAATATAATCGAGGCAACAACGAGTTGATAAAAAGTATTTACCAGGAGGTTGTGAAAACATATTGGTGCTTTGGTTTGTAACTATGATGTCAGAATAGGTCTCATGGCGTTCGCTCGTTTAGCGGAATCCCGATCGTCAGTTCAAGTATTTTGATAAATGCTGGATAGGCACGTAGCAGATAAATGGAAATTCATTTTTTAATGCTGCAACTACACTTCAATTGAAGTTAAGATTGTGGGATTGCAGCACTCGTTTCAAAATATTGTTTGTTTGCACTCGTTCGTCTGGGAGAACTTAGGGAGCAAAATGGGAGCACAACGATGTTCACACTTGTGACAATTTTCAACGTCTCGCCTCCTGAAATATAGAAAAATCAGACAGCCTACAAACTGAATTTTCTTTGGCCTGTCCGGTAAATGCCGTCACATAATACAGTATAACGATGC